GGGTGATGAGATGCCCCTCGCCCGCATCCCATCCATGAAGCCGTCCCGTACCTTAAATCGGAACATTTGCATGTATTTGCTATCTCCCCGATGCTTCCTTGACCCTTTTACAGGCACCCCCCGCCGAAGCAGAGAATAATGAAATGCCCCTACACCCGCATTTCATCCATGAAGCCGTCCGGTGGCAACCGTTCCTAAATTAATAAAGTTAAGAATACATTCACTTTCAATTAATCAATTCAACACAAATAACTGTTAATTTGAAAGTTTATATTCTTTATTAGTTGGTCTACACAGTGATTACATGTACTATATACTATTATACATTATACTATATAACTATATACACATAAACACTATTAATACAATTATCCCTCTCTTCCATTCATCTTCCAGTGCCACCCGCCTCCACCTAATCTTAGTAGCTGAGCTGCTTTGATTTCGAGTTAGAGTTACGTGACAGAGCGGACGATGAATTTTGAGTTGCCGCTTGCTTTGATGTCGAAATTGAGTTGCTTAGCTTAGTAACTGAGCTCGCTTTAATTTCGAGTTGAATTCGGTAGTTAGCAGCTGGACTGCTTTGATATCGAAATTGAGTTGCTTGGCTTAGTAGCTGAGCTCGCTTTAATTTCGAGTTGAATTCCGTGAATTCGATGATTTGGAATGTTAGCGCCTTAGCGCGATTAATGTTCCGTTATGAACCAAATGTTCATTTAATTGTTTGTAGAATGTTCATTGCGTTTGCGTTTGATGATTTGGTTTGCATGTATTGGCACTGGAAGTTTTCCTCCGCGTCCCTTTCAAGGCACAGCCAACCACCGCTCGCAACCACACCGAACCGAACCGCGGCTACCTCTTCACCAGACGCTGGTGTTTGCTGACTATGTCAAACGAACATTTGATGACTATGTCAAACGAACACCAATGTTGATGCAACCGAACCCAGACCTAGAAGGAACACCAGTATTGATGCTACCTCGCGAGGGCCGAGAACAGTCAAAGGCAATGCTTCTTTGTCCCTTTTAGGGCACGAGTCCCCTCCGGGCACCCCCTAGTAGAGGGTGATGAGATGCCCCTCGCCCGCATCCCATCCATGAAGCCGTCCCGTACCTTAAATCGGAACATTTGCATGTATTTGCTATCTCCCCGATGCTTCCTTGACCCTTTTACAGGCACCCCCCGCCGAAGCAGAGAATAATGAAATGCCCCTACACCCGCATTCCATCCATGAAGCCGTCCAGTCCATTTAAGACCAAAAAATGTGGTAATTGGCAATTCATACTGCCTTCCTTGGATGTGGTAACTAGAGATTCATTCTCACTTTTACTCACATTAACCGGCGATTCATTCTCACTTTGCCGGCGATTCTCATCTCATTTTTTTACCCTACTCTTCCACATAATATGCAAACTCAACTTCTTTGAATAATCAAAACTTGGTGATATTTTATTAACTTGTGATAATTGAACAAATGTGATAAATATTATGGTTATTTTGTTTTTAAAATACATAATAATTAGACACTGGTTTATTTCCACAAAAAATAATTAACATTCAATCCACATGAGCATCCAAAAAAATCAATACATAATTAGATTAAATTCATAATTACGATAATTACGACATTATCGTTATCGTTCAACGCATGAGTAAAATAATTACATCATTTCATATTATCGTTATGATTCATCACGATCACTTGATAAATATTATATTAACACAATCATACTCTATACTGTCTCGTGCGCGTCGTCTTGCCACCTGCGGACTCACCCGGCGATACAAAAGCACCAAAAACTGAAAAGGCCAAAGTGAAATCACACACTAGAACGCGACTACAAAAAGTCTATGTACCGAAAATTCGTTATTTTGTTTAATAATAAAAAGAGGCTGGTGAAAACGACGATGACGACGATAAAAAAGACATGATAAACTTAAAAATTTCTCAGGGCGTCGTTAAGGGATTTCAGAATCCAGTTAAGGAAGTGAAAGTAAAAGTGCCACCACTATTACCATCTTTTGAATTTAAACAGGCGGATAGAAAAACGATTACCGTTACCACCGATTACCAAGAAATGATACAACCTATAACGGTAATTATTTCGTTTAATATGTTGATTTGCTGTAAATTCAGGTTTCTGTTGTGTCAGGTAAAGCACACACAACCAGAGAAAGGATTTTCGCCGTGCTAGCTTGTAATAATAAACAGATTGTTTGTATTTTTATCGTTATGTTCTTATTTAATTCACAGTAGCGGATCACAGTCGTATACAATAGGCCTAAAGATCGAATCTTGGAGCTCAATGCATCAGATGAAAGAGGCATCAATATTGTCAGAGGAAAGATAAAACTTTACACGCGTAATTGTTGGCAATCAAGAGGAAAGTTAAAAAAGGATTATTTTACTTTAAACCTTTCTTCTCATTAATCCTTCGAGATTTTACTCAAGTAAGCAAATACCTAATCCTCCTTACAAAATAATAATTCTTGACGCTGATCAAATGACAAACATCTCTACGAAGAACAACCTCGAGTCACGCGTTTCTGTCTAAGATGCAATTATGCTTCGATATGTTCTCATTCGATCAATGAATTAAAAACTCGTTACTGTCATTTAATATACGTAATTTTTAATGGTCCAAAATCGTCAATGAACATGCAATAAGATATTTCCAGGGTGGAAATCTCGATTTACGTAACCTTCTCTGTGCATTGTATTCAAATCAAAGATAATATGATTCAAATATTTAAGTTTTTCTTTCCAAGTTAATTTTTCGAGTACCTGTTATGATTTTCAAAGTCGATATCTTCCGTGTAAACATAATTTTCAGATTCTATTATACAAAAATCAAATGCACAGTAAGCCTAAATTTGAAGATTTCAAGTTTCATTAAGCAATGGTGCTTTTGTTTTCTCAATGAATTGTACCCTAGAATAATACACCAAAAAGTATTAATTAAAACAATTATAGTTTTTTCATGAATTAATTAACGAGTCATACCAAAGCAAATAAACTATTTGAATCAATCCTCTAGCAGCTGGTGCTTTTTGCTGATAATTATAAAAAAATGAGCTTAAGGATAATGTTCTTTCGGATCTGGTACGACATCCCGAAAACCATAATCCCGACAAGCGAAATACCGAAAGCACAGCATACCGAAAGCACGAAATCCCGAATGAACCGCGCATTTACTAATTTCCCCCAGGTTTCTGATTGGTTGAGGATATTAAAGGTTAATTTTAGCGTTGGATTAGGGTTAGAGTCGAGGATAAGATTATATGTAAAATTGCCTTCCTGACATTTTTTATTAGTGCTTCAAGCCAGATTTAAGCATTCGTTTTCCGTTTATTTCACATTATTCGCATTTTTAATTTTCTTGTGACGGATTTGTTTTGCCGGTCTGGTCTAGAAACCCGGTGTGCAGTCAACCAATCAGCGATGGAAATTACTTGCATCCAATCAGAAACCTGGAGGAATTAGTAAATGCGCGATTTCGTGCATTCGGTATATCGTGCATTCTATATGCTGTTCATTCGGGATTTTGTGCTTTCGTTATGCTGTGCATTGTCGGGATTGTGGTTGTCGGGATGTTGAACGTCACTCGTTCTTTCACGCAGTGCTTAGAAAATGAAGTAATGAATAATCTTGAATATTATCTGGTATACGATTCCCAATAATAGTTTGTTGACTGATCAAATTTAATTAGTTTCCCCTGCTTTGTTCCCAGTTCTTCACCAAGCACTATATTACCGGTACCAATAAGATTATCTGAGAGTCAGATATGTCTACACCAACAAAATCACAACTTGGATGATCTAAATTAAAAAGAAAAAATTGGCTTATTAGATTAATAAAATTAACCCTAGCAAATATAGTATTCAGTCTGCGAGTTTTTTAGACTCTTAAATTCAATCAACAGCAATAATTAAAGTAGTTACCATTAAAATCCAATCAACAGCAAGTAGTTACCACTCCACCCCAATAAAGAGCAGCGTTCTTATTTTATTGCAGTGTTTTATCATAAGTTTAAATGTCGGAACTTAGAACTGTCGGGATTTTGAAATATTGAGTTTTCGGGATATTGCATTTTCAGGGTTTCGTTTGTCAGGTATTGGGATTGTCAGGAATGGGTTAAAAGTATTGATCTAGGAAAAAGAAATTACAGTATTTAATATTTTCATAAAAATACCCACATGGTAACGGATCCGGTACGACATTCCGAAAACCACAATCCCGACAGCTGATATGCCCGACAAACGAAATCCCAAAAGTCCAACATCCGAAAGTCCAATATCCTGAAAGTTCAACATCCCGAAACCTCAACTTACCGAACACTCAATATCCCGAAAACTAACATCATAATAGTTCAAATCCCGACAAAATCCCAGTTCAAAGTCACGACTCACTTATCGACTTTTGTGTTAACGTTATATATATGCATTATTGTTAGCCAACGTGCCGTTAAAATTATCGTTATTCCCACAAGAAATACATGATGATCATTATTTACAATACGTAATACATGTAGTAACGGTAAATAACAATACGTAGTAATATTCGGGTGCCCTAACGCTAATACGTATCAAGAAAAAATGGTGCATATCGATAAATACGAGGAGCTAATGTTCAAATTTAGCTTGGTCCACTAATAAAAATGTCGGGCAGGTAATTTTATATATAATCTTGTTCCACTCTAACCCTAATCCCAAACTTCAAATCTAATTGTGTTAAAATATAGTATTTCCAGATTGGAGATACGTAGTTCGTGAGCCAATTTTTTTCTTATTTGCAAAACTTCATGCTTTGGAATTTTGAATTGTCATTTTTTGAGTTTTCGGATTTCGTTTGTTAGATGGTAACACATACAGTACATGTATACGCGCATAGTAACACATATTTCAGCAGTTGATTTTATTTTATTTGATTTTATTTTATTTTATTTTATTTTGTTTTGTTTTGTTTTGTTTTTTTAAAATAAAAAATACATACCAAAAATGTCAAGGAATACAGGGGAAAATGTGTTATTTGATAATGGATGTGCAACTATAAAATACAAAATATTTTTCTTTTTGTTATTTTAAAAAAAAATTGCAAATAATTAAAAAAAAGTAAACATACATATATTGCTTGATGTTATTTTCTAATATTCCGAGATTTTGTTGGTCCAAGTGGTTTGGTAATCTAAAGTGTAGTTTAAAACAGAAAAGTTAGCAAATATTTAAAAATAAAATAGTTTAGTTTTTTTCTAAAAAATCTTAAACATGCAAAAAAACTAACATATTCCCAATATCTCGAGATTTGTTGCTTGACTTTTCATTGGTTTGAGTATTGCTTGACTTTTCGTTGGTTTGAGTATTGCTTGATTTTTCATTGGTTTGAGTATTGCTTGACTTTTTCGTTGGTTTGAGTATTGCTTGACTTTTTGTTGGTTCGAGTATTGCTTGACTTTTTGTTGGTTCGAGTATTGCTTGACTTTTTGTTGGTTCGAGTATTGCTTGACTTTTCATTGATTTGAGTATTGCTTAACTTTTTGTTGGTTTGAGTATTGCTTGACTTTTTGTTGGTTTGAGTATTGCTTGACTTTTTGTTGGTTTGAGTATTGCTTGATTTTTCATTGGTTTGAGTATTGCTTGACTTTTCGTTGGTTCGAGTATTGCTTGACTTTTCATTGATTTGAGTATTGCTTGACTTTTCGTTGGTTTGAGTATTGCTCGACTTTTCATTGGTTTGAGTATTGCTCAACTTTTCATTAGTTCGAGTATTGCTTGATTTTTCGTTGATTCGAGTATTGCTTGACTTTTCGTTGGTTTGAGGATTGCTTGACTTTTCGTTGGTTTGAGGATTGCTCGACTTTTCATTGATTTGAGTATTGCTTGACTTTTTGTTGGTTCGAGTATTGCTTGACTTTTTGTTGGTTTGAGTATGCTTGATAATCTCATTATTAAAAGAAACTCAAGTGCAGTTCACTTAGTAATTTTTTAAAATTAAAACATGCAAAATAATAAAAAAAATTTAGCCTGTAATATTCCAATATTCTGAGATTTTGTTGTTCCAAGTGGTTTGGTAATCTAAAGTGCATCTTAAAATAAAAAAGAAAAATTAGCAAATATATATAAAAATAAAATAGGTTAATTTTTTTTTAAAAATATATCCTCTAATATCCTGAGATTTTGTTGCTTGAATTTTCGTTGGTTTGAGTATTATTACACGTTTTTCACTGATAGGATAATTAGCTAATAAACATGAACAAGAGTTGGGAGAGATAATTAAACAAATATAAGAAAAATATAAAAATAATATCTAAGTCCTATGCCAATTTTTACTGAAATTGTTATAGTTCGAGAGGGGAAAAGAATAAGATAATAATATTTCAATTAGGTATAGTATTCTGAATAATCATACTAACTAATTAATTTACAAATTATTTAATTGAAATAACTAATAATTTAATTAACTAATTAAAATATCAAAAATAACAAAAGTAATGAAGACTCTTTCACTTCATTCTTCTCACAAGATAGAAATTATAATATTTTTAGTTGAGGAATTCCAAATAATTCAATTATAATGAAAATATCAATTCAATAATTCAATATTAATGTTTTGATCAGCTCAATATGGTCTCAAAGCTACTTGTTTGCAAGATTTGAAGTATATTTTTGAGAGAGGAATGCGAATTGTTTAAGTGTTAAAAAGATATTTGTTTTATTATGTTATTTATTTTCAAGTTCTGACATGTTGAGTTAGAGCTCAACTGCAACTCATATTTATACATTTTCTTTGAAATACAAATATAATATTGAAAACAAGAAAAAGATATAAAAGATAATTATACTAATTAAAAATAAAATTCCAATTTACTAAATATGAAAAATAGAGAAATAAAGAAGAAAAAATATAAATCTTCAAGAATTTTGATTGATTAAATTATATCTACTTGGAATAAAAATATAAAAAGTATAAAAAATATAAATATATAAAAATATAAAAAGTATAAAAAGTATAAAAGTATAAAATAAAAATGATATTGTTACCGTTTTGAGCTTTTGCGTATGAAAGTATTTCAAAATGGCAATAGTGACTGTGTTCACGGCAATTTAC